CTGGCTGAAGTCTTGGTGCTTAGCTGTAGCGCAAATATCTCACCTATACACTCCTGCCTATTAAGGAGAGAGAGGCATTCCAGGAGGAGGCTGCCTCTAAGTGACAACGTCTCAAAGGACAATTCTGAGAGCTGGTGGCAGAGGTTTCTGAGTGAAGTGTCTTTGTATTTGGGCTGACTTGCTGATTTTCAGGTGGTAAGAACATCCATACTGGGTCAGACCAAAGGTCCATCTAGCCCAGTATCCTGTCTTCCACAGTGGCCAATGCCAGCTATCCCAGAGGGAATGAATAGGTAATCATCAAGTGATCCATCCCCTGTCACCCATTCCCAGCTTCCCGCAAACAGAGCCTAGGGACACCATCCCTGCCCATCCTGACTAATAGCCATTGATGGATCAATCCTTCATGAACTTATCTAGTTCTTTTTTGAACTCTGCTATTGTCTTGACCTTCACAACATCCTCTGGCAAGGAGTTCCACAGATTGACTGCTTTGTGTGAAGAAGTGCTTCCTTTTGTTTGTTTTAAACCTACTGCCTATTAATTTCATTTGGTGACCCCAGTTCTTGGTCTTGCTAGATCTTGCTACAAGGACTGACCTGGGGTCTGGCCACACTGCAGTGAGTTCAGGACCTGAGCACCTAGAGGTAGCAAAGGTGACGCTAGGTCACTTGTATGTCCCCTTGATCCTGGCCCCAGACAGCATTTGCCCCTTCTGACTCATGTACCTTGTAAAGCTAAGTTTGTAACACCAACCAGGCAAACAGTATTTTACAGATGGGGGGGGGGGCGGGGAACGACGTATTCTAGCAATCAGCAGAGCTCTTCTTGTCAATGGGTCGGTACTTGTTCACTGCCATTGTATTTTCGTTATTCCTGAATGAGGCCACGAAGTACAAGTCTGATTATAATAATTTATTATGTTTACTTTTCAGGAGTTCAAACAACTTTCATAGTTGCACAAGTGAAGGACATCGCACTAAACCTTTGGCTTTCTATCTGATGAACCTTGGAATGACAGGGCACAGTTTCTGATGAATAATTACACCGCCATGAGTCTTTCCATTACCAAGATTAGTAGCCAACAGTTGTAAATGGGAAGGCAAGCGATCATTGAATAGTACGTATAAAGAAACTCGGATGCAGGTAAGATTATAAAGCGATCTCCCTTTCATGCAACTGATAGAACCAGTAACTAATTATTATAGTGAGCTAATCAGCACAGAGACTTCCCTTTTCCAAGCAAGGAATTAGGCCTGCATTTGATACCGCTCGGAATTCACTTTGCAGGAGGCTGTCACTGTATCTTATATCCTCTTGTATTCCTTAATCGTGACATCTTTTCTTCGGTGTCTTCTACAGCGGCACCCACCTGGTGATCTTGAAACGGCCAGCAAAGATGATTTGAGAACATTTAATAAATGTATTTATTTAGGGCAGATGAAACCCTCTAGAATGTCTTCCCACTACCTGGCTGCTCTCAAAGCAAATACACTTGACACGAAAACAAGGTGCAGTAGTGAAAAAGTCAGAAGTCTCTCTTTATCCCAGTATCCTGTCTCTCGGCAATTCATCAGCATGTACAATCCGGGCACCAGTAGGTAACATCCCAGGGCCTGGGTGCTCTTGCATATTACAGCGAGACTTCAGAGATTGGGAACAATTGCTGCATCTTTATCTCTCTGGCTCAGTGGCTCTTATTGTACCAGATTTCCTACGTCTCAGCAAATTCATTACTACTTCTCAGTGGCCTGGGGTTCTAGCTGAGCGTGTCTTGTGTGGTGGCGGCGCAGCGCTGGGAGAGAGGTCTCCCAGCGCTCCAAAAAACCACCTCCGGGAGGGGCACAGCTACCAGCGTTGGGGCACTGTCTGGCGCTTTACAGCATGGAAACTTGCTGCGCTCAGGGGGTGTTTTTTCACACCCCTGAGCGAGAAAGTTGCAACTGTAAATTGCCAGTGTAGACAAGCCCTGAGATGTAAAATCACCTCTCATGCAGTCATTGTGCCGGCAGGTCTGTGCACCTCGGGTTTTGCTAGCACTGGGGACTTTGCGAAGGCAGAAAAGCGGAGCAATGTCTATTTTATCCTCCCCCGGGCAGAGGCGGAGGGTGAAAGCCTGGTCCCACTGAAGTCAAGGGGATTTTTGCCCCATTGGGTTTTCACCCTGTTTCCCACCCTGTGCCTCGCGCACTGTGAACACAACTTAACACTCAATGAAATGAATTAGGACGAACCCTGCAGTGTCATGCTGGCTGGGATTTGGCACCTCTTTGCCACTCGCCCCTTGCAGCTTCTAGCACCGTCCCAAAGTTTCCTTTATCAAGGCCAGGGAGCCTGACCACCAGACGGCCGGGCTGGCTCCCTCCCGGGTGTTCCGAGCAGGGGGCCCAGCCAGGTCATGAGAATTGGGGGACGCTGCTGTTCTTTGGAGGCTGACTGGGGAGAGACGCCTCTGCTGATCACTGTGTGACCCTTGGGGCGGCTGGGCGGCTGCCAGAGAAACTGATTGACCAGAGGGCTGTCGCTGATTGATGAAGATCCCGCTGCTTTTAACTCTTCGATCCTAGCAGTACCGCTGCATTCACTAGGGCCACTTCTTTACAAAGGCGGAAGGTTTTTCCAAACCTAATGGGCCGGGCTGGGTTTGGGGCTCTGTTCTTCCCCAAGCAGTTAATTCGAGGTCATATTCTGTAGGACAAGGTCACATGCAAGTGTGCTGCAGAAGGTGTGCTCCTATTATCGCTGCTCGCCTACCTCTCTCTGCCTTGCAGCTTTTCCTTTCGTCCGAGGCAGCCATTCCAGCATGCACAAGGGTTATTTTTTGCTTATCATGGTCTTAATCCTGCTACCCCTGAGCTTCTTCCCTCTCCCCCCCCCCGCCCCAAAAGAGCCAGTAGGAGGAGCAGTTACTAATAGGAAACTCCGTTCTAACTGCTATTGTATAAATATCAATTCTTCTCTGAAAATACATAATTCCTACATACTAGAGCCACTGGGGTGAAGCTAATTGGAGCTGTTTCTAATATAATACAAAGCTTTATATGTTTTTACATTTCATACGGAATGAAAACAAATCTATGATAGTTTCAAGTTTCAGCCTTTATGTGGTGAGAAGAATCCCTCTGAAGGGACTTTTTCTACGTGGATCGAAAAATAGATCCAAATCTTTCCAGTTCCTTCGAGCTGGACTTCCCCCAGCACACTGGCTGCCCCTCAGCATAACAAATGAGGGTTATTTTACAGCTGCCCACGGGGCTTGTTTCATCCCTCTTCATGTTTCTGAATAAAACCTATCGAACTAAAACTCGAACCTTATTCTTTTCTTTTACACGTCGGGTTCAGTCCAAAAACAGGACTTCCCAAGAAATAGCTCTGACAAAGGCCTTTGTTCACTACTATGAGACACATTTTACTCTTATGTTATCAAAATTTTGTTAAATGCTTTGAAGTCCAGTCATTTATTACTTTTCCTGTCTTGCTTGCTGATATAGGAAGGATATGTTTCCATTTTTGTTTTGATCTGTGCAAATGCTCAGTAATACATTGGAAAGTGAATTTCGGTAAATCTCAACAGACTCTGCTGAGCAAAATATTGCAGTGTTAATCACAGAGATAATCTTTCCCTAATCTGATGTGTAATCCATTTTACCCCAGTGAGAATTTTTAACACTTTAATCAATTAGAGTCAGCTAGAGAATTATTAACAGAACCTCGGCAAAATGAGTGCATTCGTCAGAGGAGCAGTAGGGAGGGGGGGGGGGGGAGGGAAGTAAAATCCGATATGTTTAAAATCGATACACACCCAAACGCAAGAAGTTGATGTAATTTATTTTGATGTTAGAGCGTCTTAATTTCAAACGCCAATAAAATAATAAAATAACACTCGAGCAATCCATCAACCATATGCCTGCTTTTAAAATAACTCTTAAAACGGCGTAAACTCACAGACTCTCTGAATACATTGTATTACTACTTAAATACACGGTGGAAAAATATGTAAGTGACTTGACAAAGACACCAAGTATCAAGGAATGAAATATACCTCTTCGGACAGCATACTTCGCGTCTGTAGATTTTACGAATGTGATCTGTGTGAGTTAATGCTCCATTTCAAAAGTGTTTGATAAAGAAATAAAGATATTAAGGGGATGGCATCCATTTGCTGTTCAGCACCTTGTATAGTTAAAAAAGTCACCAAATGAAGCAGATACTGTTCAAAATCTAGAATGACATGTTCACATTCTATAACAGAAGAAAGGGAAATAATTGCTTTCATTAATTTTCTAAGAGCCCCCTAAAGAATGACAGTAGCAAAATGCTTTGTGACAGTTCAGGTGGATGTGAATATCGAACATCTCAGTCTGAGCAGAGGATGAACGCACGGTGCCTTAGGCTTCGTGCTCTTTAGGGCAGGTATCATCACCTTCCTCATAAGAGACTGAAGAATTGTATCATGCTAAGTGGCGCTCATCAAAGCCATGTTAGGGTCCACGATTTCTAAGACGGGGGGAATCTACAGCGTGGCGACAAACTAGCCTTGCTATTTCCCTTTCAGTTTGCTGAGTGTTGCGTTATAGGTAAATAGCACCGGGACGGGAAGGGCCACCAAGGGAGTCCTGCCCACAGTCCCGGTGATCTGGCGCAGATAAAATCACTCCGAGCCGCTACTGCTTTTCATCACCTCTTCCCCAACTCGGCCTGCATGTGCCCTGAGCAGGGGCGAGTGCAAACACCTGAAGGTGCCATAGCAGCGCCAGGTAGAGCTGGGGCAGCAGCTGGGGCAGCGCCTCCCCCCCCCCCACCGCCTGGACCAGGCCCCGCCTCTCCCCTCATAGCTCAGGAGCTTTGTAGGTGTATGCACCCCCCACCCCCCGCGCCTGAGTCTCTCCCTCTCCGTCTCGCTCTGATTGGCTGGCGCTGTTGGTTAATGGCACGCGCCTGTGGATGTAGTTATAAGAATCCTCGCGTGCCAGCCCTCAGCTCTAGCAAGTCCCCAGCAGCCTCCCTAGAGAGAGGCAGAGGCGCCGGGCAGGGCAGCGCCCGCAGCAGGAGCTGGGGCAGCAGTAGGAGGAGGAGGCTCACCGGGAGCAGCCGGGGCGAGTGGCTCCGGAGTAGCAGGAGGCTCCTCGCGGCTGGGTCCCCGGGCAGCAGCGGGCGGCAGCCGCCCCAGCGTGCCCGGGCCAGGGCGCAGCATGGAGACGGTGCTGCTGGAGCATTTCCCCGGGGGGCTGGACTCCTTCTCCTCGCCCCCCTACTTCGACGAGGAGGATTTCTTCACGGACCAGTCCTCCCGCGACCCCCTGGAAGCGGACGAGTTCCTGGAGCAGGACGTGGACTTCCTGAGCCACCAGCTGCAGGAGTATTACCGGGACGGGGGGCAGGGCGAGGGGGGCTATTGCTGCGAGGCGGCGGCCGCCGCGGCCAACTTCTCTTCTTCCTCCTCCCCCTCCTCGCCCAGCTTCCCCTACGGGTGCTGCGGGGCGGCCGCCTCTGAGCTGCTGTCCCCCGGGGGCAGGCTCAAGGCGCTGAGCTCCGCCAAGCGGCGCCGGCGGGTGCGCTCCGAGGCCGAGCTGCAGCAGCTGAGGCAGGCGGCCAACGTGCGGGAGCGCCGGAGGATGCAGTCCATCAACGACGCCTTCGAGGGGCTGAGGTCCCACATCCCCACGCTGCCCTACGAGAAGCGGCTCTCCAAGGTGGACACCCTGCGCCTGGCCATTGGCTACATCAACTTCCTGAGCGAGCTGGTGCAGTCGGACCTGCCACTGCGGAGCGCCAGCAGCGAGAGCCCCAGCCAGCCCAAGAAAGTCATCATCTGCCACCGGGGCACAAGTAAGTGGGCAGCACAGACACAGACGCCCAGGGCCAAATTGCTCCCTGGCGTAACTCCGTTGGCTTCCCTGGAGTTACACCAGGGCTGGGTTTACACCTCCCCAGACACACACAAAGACAGGCTCACACATGCTCTCAGAGGCGCACACACAGCGCGTTCTCCTTTGAACCGTTTGTCTGAAGGAATGTGCACCTTGCCTGTTGCCACGACTTCTCTCCTAGCGCAAGACTGCAGCTTGGATAGAGAAGGGCACCTTGTAGAGGGGTTGAGACCATCCACAGCTAGGCTGACCGGTAGAAGAGGGAGGAACCTGGTATTTTCCAACCCAGGAAAGCTGTTATTCTTTGCATGCCACACGGTAATGCTTATACATTTAGCTGGGTTACCTGCATCACTGAAACGGCCAAGAGCAAAGAGAAGGGGTTCCTGGACTGGTTCCCACTGGTATATAGCAAAATATTTATTTTCCTACTGCTCTCTTTTTCCAGGATCACCTTCTCCAAGCGACCCTGATTATGGACTGCCTCCTCTTGCTGGACACTCTCTGTCATGGACTGATGAGAAGCAACTTAAGGAACAAAACATTATTAGAACAGCTAAAGTGTGGACCCCTGAAGACCCCAGAAAACTAAACAACAAATCTTCTCTAAACAACATAGAAAACGAACCTCCATTTGATTTTGCATCATGAATCGTGAATATTTTGACTGTAAATGCAAACATGACACCAATGTATATTTGTATGTAAAGACCTATATTTTAAACGTAATTTAAAATTCAAAATCTAATGGCAATCAATGTTTTTATTTATCTATTTATTATCATGTAGAGTTAATGAGGTGGTATTGTCTATTTGTATGTATAATTTATATAATTTATCCTGATTTTAAAATATGCAATAGTTTTATTCCACCAGCACCTTTCGATAAAACTGTTCGGAAAACACTTCCAAAATATGAAAATAATTTATTACCACATGTGGACTATTTCTATGTTTGTTAATAATAAATCCTGATTAAACGTTCTAAGGCAGTTTATTTTGTGGGACATCGATGCTAAGACTATCAGGCAATAATATTGAACTCAAATAATAAAAAGTTGGACGTTTCAGCTACATCACAGACAAGTTACCTTGTAGAAGCCAAATAAGACCTGTGGTGTTTAAAGGGGCATTTCCTCAAAGGAGGGACTTAGGGTTCAGGAATAGTTCCAGGCTGGTTACTTGGTTCAAACAATGGCAGCATTATATTGTATCCGTACCATGGCCTCTCCACCAGAGCTGATTAGCGTTCAGCATAAGAAGCGTTTTTGAGGGCTGATCTTACATCGGTGGCGGGCATAATTTTGCTTTTCACTCCACCCTCTTTAGACGTGCCCTCCTGAAGTGTTTTAAAGTCATGGCTTTGTCCCTTTCAATGGCTACTTCCATTCCTCTCTGCTTCTTTACAATGACACGGAGCTGGTTGTGGTTTCCACCACCAAGAACGAGGCTGGTAGTGCAACACCAGCTTCACACGTACTCACGAATCACGTTACTAAACTGAGTTTAGAACTAATCTACCAACGAGCACCTAACACACTGTTAGATAACTTCTGGGAAACAACCTGGTTAGGCTGCACTTAGCTCAGTACAACTCCAACGCTGTTGGGCTCAGTAAAATGAATGTGGCACCCCTTTAACAAACAAAGCCCCAAGAAGGAAGAGGACAAGGGACCAGCCCTGTTGTTTTACCGCGGTAGCCTGGCCAAGCTGTGTTGCACACCAGCAGCATTTCCTAGCAATGTGAGCACAGTGCTGGTGCTGCGGACAGGGCACCAGGGCCAGAGCACACAGGGACTCGGCTGCACACGAATAACACCACACGCCCAGCCCCTAACCCGGGACTAAGTGGTGCAGGGTGGGGCTCGGGCACTCACACGAGGACAGGAGTATTGGAAGGGGCTGCGCGCTGTCCGCGGACCAGTCTGTCTTCCAGGAAAAGCCTGATGCCAAGAAGGAGAGTAGCACCAACGCCCCATCCCCGTGGGTGCGTCATTTGAGCGAGGAGCTGCTCTGTGACTCGGAATAACTGGCCGGACCGTGCAGCCCTTACTCTGGTAAAGCGCCCGTTGACTTCAAAGCCCGAGCAAGGGCCGCGGGAGCTGAGATCCTTTGCTAGCGGCCCCTTGGCCCCCAGCTGGACTGGGACGAGGCTCGGCGGATGCAGCGAGCTCGCCCCTTGGCCACTCCACCTGGCAGAGGAAAGTAGCCGCGAGCGCCTGGGGCCGGCGCGGAAAGTGTTAATGTGTTGCTGGGCGGCGGGGGCGGGGGGTGGTGCAGGGCCAGCGCTCGAACCTGGCTGGGGCGGGGGGGGGGTGAGGAGTCGGGCGGGGCGGGGGGAGCGTGGACTGCGGGCCTGGTGCTGCTGCTGGCCAGCGCTGCAGGTGCTGATTTTCCCGTGGTACCCGCCGCTCCTCAGGCTCAGCCACCGACGTCACTGCTCCCGGGAGAGCCCCAGATGCCCACCCCAGCCTTGCAAGCGGAGTCCCGAGCAGACCTGACCAAACGAGGTGCCCAGGCGGATGGGAACGGCACTGGCGAGCCAAGGTATAATTATTACTCCTCATATACTGGACTCTTTTTTTTTTAGAGCTCACAAACTGGGAGCAATATGTTGCATGCCTGCTAATTGCATTAACCTAGTTAGACACATTTAGTTCCCCTTGTGCTAGCGCGGATGGCATGGACCTCTTCCAATAGCAATTAGAGGAGCAACTTACCCATACAAACACTGCAGAGCTGGGGCTTCGGTTTTTTTATTTTTATTTTTATTCTTTTTTTTTAAAGCTCAAAAATCTGTGTTGGTCTCAGAGTGCAAACCTCCCCTCTCCCCCCTTTCTGCAACGGGAGAGAGAAGTTTGCACCAATGTAATTGAACTTAACTGTGCTCTTTGGGAGAGAAAAAGAGTCAAACTATAATTCGATTTTGTCCTGTATTAGGACCTCATTAAACACAGAAAGTCGCTTTTGCACAAATGCTTCCATCAGGCATGTAATCTCATTACACTCATTAGAAAGTCAAATGTTAGTCGGACTTCAGCTTAATTATAAGTTATGGAAGTGTTGTACCGTTTTCTTCTGTTGTATAGACCCCTCCGTTTCAATTGGCTTTGGTAATGTGGTACTCCACAATTAAAACACTACCATCATTGTTATGTGGCACCTTTTCTCTGGCGTGCCACTTTTTTTGTGATTCAATGCTTCAACACATCCTTTAGTATGATGCAGATCAAGCGGAAGAGCCGGGCTTCGCATGTAAAACACCAGGGTCTCTATCTTGTCACTCTCCTGTCTTGACTTGGCAAGTCCCTTTAAACGCAATCTTCAAAGAGACTGACAGCTTCTTTTTACTTACTCATAATCCATTCATTCTAATGCAGCAGTTCTGCAAAAACAGTCCTGCAGCAAAAGGCAGAAGGAAAGTATCATTCCAGGTCTTCCTGACCAAAAGGCGATCAGAGCTCCACTGCTGAAACCGATACAGGCTTTGTTGTCGCAGGAGCAAACTCTGAGATTTGCAGTAGCTTTAGGGTTTTTGCTGGTCAGGAATATTGCTTGGCACTGTAAGGACCAGCGTGTGGGCAGGCATGACTGACAGCTATTCAGGCCTCGTCTTAATCAGCCTGCCCATTTTCTCCCAACGACACTGAAAACGATAATTGTAATATGTATAAACTAGCCCCTTTCCTCTAGGCATTTAGTTTCGCTAAAATGAATTATGCCCCTCTTTAAAACTGATTTCGTCAGTCAAAAGACCCGGTACATGATCAAAGCTTGGGTCATATTTTAAAAACTGCTTTGATGTGTGTGTGCTACCTACAAACACAACTGCTGAGAATTCCGTGCCAGAGGCTACAATTTGTGTTTGTTTGAATTAAAATCTCCCTGTTCCCAAAGTTCACATCGGCTCTAAAGTGGATGTATTTCACGTCAGTGAAAGGAGGGAAGTAATGGCTAATATGCAGCTATGAAAATAATGCAGTGACCTAGCCTCTCATTTTCCCCTTTGGTGGTTTCTCATTCTCAGTGCAGGCTGCTTAAGGATGTGACTAATTATAGGCCATACCCCCTCACATTCCCAATGTGAGAAACACACACGGCCAGCCCAGAGATCTCTGATTTATGTTAAA